TTGGATTCCATCCGCATCAGTTCATACTGACGCCTCAAAGTTTGCAATCGGGTTTTCTTCAATTGCTCGACTCCTTCATTGCACGTCTCCAGTATCTTCCACGCTTCTTGAGAGGTTTTGGCTTCAGCGATCTTCTCAAAGTGCGGTTCATCCACACACTGATGGAGAATAACCATGGCCTTGAAGTCCTTTTTCTTGTTCTCTATGTATGTTGCTGGTTGAGTTTCTGTGGCTCCTTCTGCAAGACGTTCGAAACCATTCTCAACGATGTCACTGATCTCTTGATATCCCATAATTGCTTGCATCTGAATTCGCTAGCGATTCCAGTTCTTGCCATCAAGAATTGGAAAGTTGGCAGGGAAGCTGTTACCGACTTGCGCCATTAACGATGTGTTTGGATCGAGTGTTAGGGAGTGTTAGTAAAGGAAGTGTTGATATTAACACCTGTTTGGCAGAGAAATTAAGAAGTGTTAAAGAGTGTTAGTAAGTGTTGAGAAGTGTTAGTAATTACCTCCCCAACACCCCACTTGCCCACTTTTTTAACACCCCAATTTGGAGTGTACTGAAGCGTTGACAATTACTGCCCTTCATTTACCGATAAAAAATTGCTGCACAAGCCTTTCGTTTGGTCGTCCGCTCGTCTGCCTTCATCTTATGCGGCAATCTCTTCTGCGGCAATCTCTTCTGCGGCAACATCTCACTCCTTGTCAACATCTTCTGCCTTCATCTTAGTTCTCTGAGAAACAGACTTTATATACTAGACCTGTACAAAACCGGGCCGGGCTGGCCGGCCCGCCCAGCCCGCCCGCACAAATAGGCGGGCTTGGGCATATATATTTACCCACCGGGCCGGGCCGGGCCGGGCCCGCAATAACATATGGGCGGGCTTGAGTTAGGGTGTAGGCCCGTTCGGGCCGATAAGCCCGGCCCGCTACATTTAATATATATACATTTTTTAATATATGTACTAATTTATTTATTTATTTACATGTACACATGTATATTTATATTTATTAATTTATCTTTATACATATTTATAGTTAATTTATCTTTTCCAGGCCAGCGACCTTTACCAGGTGGAGGAGGAGCTTATTAGTTTTCTGGAGGAGCACAAAAGTGTCTTCGCCTGGAGCCATGACGATATGACGGTAAATTGACCCGCAAGTAATCACTCATAAGCTAAACGTAAACCCTGCACATAAACCTGTCAAGCAGAAGATACGATGTTTCACCAGGGAAAGGAACGACATCATCAATCAAGAAGTCGAGACACTGTTGCGCACCGGTAAAATCCGCGAGGTAAAATACCCTAACTGGCTTGCTAATGTTGTTGTAGTGCAGAAGAAGAAGGTTCACCAAAAGGGCAAAAAACCTAAGTGGAGGGTGTGCATCGACTTCACTGATTTGAGCAAGGCATGCCCAAAGGACTCATTCCCGATGCCACGCATTGACGTCCCCGCAGATGCCACAGCAGGACACGAAATGTTGACATTCATGGACGCATTCAGCGGCTACCATCAAATCCAATTACACCCGGATGACCAAGAGAAGACCGTATTCATCAACGAAACAGGTACATATTGCTATGTTGTCATGCCTTTCGGTTTAAAAAATGCAGGTGCCACTTTCCAGAGACTGGTCACCATGATATTCAAAGATCCGCTTGGGAAAACCATGGAAATGTACATTGACGACATGCTAGTCAAATCCAAAAAGGCGACAGATCACATTGATCATTTGCGGGCGTCATTCCAGAAGTTGCAGGAGTATAATTTGAAGCTTAATCCTGCCAAGTGCACGTTTGGAGTTTCATCAGGAGAATTCCTCGGTTACATTGTCAGTGAAAGAGGGATTGAAGCAAGTTCAGAACAAGTCCGGGCCATATTAGACATTGAATCTCCCAAGTCAATCAAAGATGTCCAGAGACTGACCGGACGAGTTGCAGCACTCAACAGGTTCATATCAAAGTTGTCAGACAGATGCCGACTTTTCTATGACGTCCTCAGAAAAAATAAGAAATTCGAATGGACGGAGCAACATGAAGAAGCCCTGCAACAACTAAAAGAGTATATGACGACACCACCTCTGCTTACGAAACCCAAGGATGGCGAGGAACTACAGCTGTACTTGGCAGTATCTGAACATACTGTTAGTGCGGTCTTGACCAGAGAAGAGGATGGCCAACAAACACCAGTTTATTATGTAAGTAAATCATTAAACGGACCGGAATCCAGATACGCACTTTTAGAAAAGTTAGTATTAACATTAGTTACAACATTCGTTAAACTGCGTCCTTATTTTGAATCACATTCTATTTGCGTTCGTACTAACTATCCCATGAAGTCCATCATGAGGAAACCAGAATGGACATGTCGAATGATCAAGTGGTCAATACAGTTGGGGGCATACGACATCACGTATGAACCCAGGACAGCTTTGAAGTCACAGGCCTTAGCTGATTTTGTGGCAGACTTCAGTCCCAGACTACAAGTAGAGGCGGAAAGGGAAGTGTGCCTGCTGATAGGGGACCAACACAAGCAGAAGTGGGTGTTACATACTGATGGAGCCTCGAACATGCACGGAGCAGGCCTTGGAGTCATATTGAAGTCACCACAAGGGGGCACCATACTACAAGCTGTCCGGTGTGATTTCAACGCAACAAACAATGAAGCGGAGTACGAGGCATTGATTTTCGGACTAAACTTAGCCCGAAACTTGGGCATAAAGTTAATTGAGGTACAGTGCGACTCCCTTTTAATTATTAATTAAACTCACGGGGTTTATGCAGCTAAGGATCCAAAGATGACGGCATACCGGGAAGTCGTCACCGAATTGAGCAGCAATTTTGACAACATCACTTTTGATCAAGTCCCAAGAGAGGAAAATGTCCAAGCTGACGCCTTAGTAGCGATCGGATCGTGTCTGGGGGCAGAAAGCAACTACAACATACCATTCGTCCACCTGACTGAACCAGCAATTATGAAGTTGGAAGTCGTCAACATCATCGAATCAACCTCGGACAGCAGCTGGATGCAGCCATACGTGGATTACCTCAAACACAACATCCTCCCAGCTGACAAGAGAGAAGCAAGGGCACTCCTATCAAAGGTAACAAAGTTTTTATTTATTGATGACGTCTTGTTCAAACGTTCAAAAGCAGGTCCGTATCAAAGGTGCCTTGCCCCATCCGAAGCTGTCAAAGTACTCAGAAGTCTTCACGAAGGGGAGTGTGGCAATCATGCAGCAGGAAGAAGCCTATCCAACAAAGCGTTGAGGTTTGGATACTACTGGCCAACGATGAGGCATGAGGTTGTCGCATACACCCAAGCTTGTCAACCATGTCAGAAGCATGCACCCCTGCATCATCAACATGCAGAATCTCTTCATCCTGTTCTATCTCCGTGGCCCTTCATGAAATGGGGCATGGACATCGTGGGAAAGCTGCCTGAAGCACCCAGACAAAAGGTCTACATGTTGGCGATGACGGACTATTTCTCGAAATGGATCGAAGCAGAGCCCTTCCGACAAATCCGTGACACACAGGTGATATCTTTTATTAAAAGAACATTTTGAGCAGATTTGACATCCCGTCAGAGATCGTGTGTGACAATGGATCACAATTCATCAGCATCAAAACCAGACGATTCTGTGAAAGGTACAATATCAAACTGGAGATGTCGACACCTCGTTATCCACAATCAAACGGACAAGCTGAATCAAGCAACAAGATCATCGTCTCAAATTTAAAGAAACGGCTTGAAAACGCACAAGGAAAATGGGCCGACGAATTGCCTCTGATATTGTGGGCAGACAAGACGACACCAAAAAATGTTACAGGACAAACACCCTTCTCATTAGTCTACGGATGTGAAGCCGTCATGCCAGTCGAAGTCGAAGTGCTAACATCCAGATATGGACTTGTCACAGAAGAAACAAACAGGGCAGAGTTGGTCCATGACCTTGACACCATCGACGAGTTGAGAGAAAAAGCTAAGATACAAATGGCAGCTCATCAACAAAGAGTGGCAAGAAGCTATAACAAAGATGTCAGAGCCAAAATATTCAAGAAAGGTGATTGGGTGCTCAGGAAGTCTTTCGGCAACGAAGCAAGCAGAAAGTTTAGTCCCAACTGGGAAGGCCCATATCAAATCACAGATGTTGTCGGACAGGGGGCATATCGGCTGCAATCCATCGTCGGTAAGCAAGTGCCGAGGAGCTGGAATGAGGTACACTTAAAACCCTTTCATTTCTAATGTAATTAATATAATCAATATATTTTTCTTTTACATTCGTTACTAACTTGAGCGTCGGAGGGCCGTTGGACTCAAACCAACGGCCAAATTAGTTTGTAAGACAGAAGCTGACGGATACACCACAAACTGATCGAACTCGGTAAGTGGCTACAGGTATCAAGCGCATCGTCATCAAAGATCAAACATTTATTTTATTACTCCACGCAATTTTCAATCACACTTATTGAGCAGAATGCTTTAACTAAGGCTTGTTTCGTTTATTAGTTCTCTATGTTTGCATTTTCATCACAAAAACCTTTGTCAACTTCATTAGTGTTTTCAATTTTCATGCAATTTTGTTTCACACTTAATGTTTTAAATAATGTCCAAATAAATTAAAGTTGTTCGATTCTCACGTTTCGGCTTCAACATCATCTGGGTACATGATGATCGGCCTGGTGAGTCGTTTTCCTTTGATAAAATCTTATTTGTTTGCTTTAATAATTACTGACTTAAGCATCGGAGGGCCGTTGGCCGAAAGCCAACAGCCAGACTTTGATGATACATTTGTGTGCTGGATGTTGACAGCGTAAAGGACAACCCACATAAGATACACATAGCGACAACCGCTAACACGATCCCCTTCACAAGGGATGGTGGGGCCAGCTCGAGTCTTTCATATATGAAATATGAGGCACAGACCGAGAATCCCTACATGTTTTGGCCAAAACAACACAAAACAACACAACACAAAACAACACAAAACTACACGAAGCTACAACACGACAATTATGGTAACGAAGACAGAACAATAATACATACACATCGCCACGGCAAAGGTCATAAGCAATAATCAACAAAAAACACACAAATTGTCATAGCAAGTTCTGGGTAAACCACCAAATGTTCAAAATAATGACCACCGAACCACTGGAAAACTACCAGGCGATGTGGTCAGATAAGCAAGTCTCGAAGTAAGCAGAAATGTCTAACAGAAGGAAAGGAAAAGCATCATGGGATAGAGGTTGCCTCAGTATCACAAGCACCCAAGTCAAAGTCGTCTTCACCTACAGGAGGCTCCACACCTTCAAAGTACATATTTCAGGCGTTGATGTCCTCTTCTGGAGTCCATTTGTCAGCTTCACCAGCCAAGTAGGACTTCATGATGTCCTTTTTGGTTTGCCAAGCATAATATGCCGCAGCATCTACCACCTCTTGTCTCTTTCTCCTACCATACTCCTCCAGACCTTTGATCCTAGCATCACGGGTCCTCAAGTCTACCTGCAAATTGTTGATCAGTCGAGCTTGAACCTGCATCTTCTCCTCTATGGCAAATTTCTCTTGAGCAAGATCGGAAGTTTTCTTCTTTGCTTCTTTTTCGCGTTGTTTGGAAGATGTCAGTTCTTCAGCCAAGGGACGAATACGCTGAGCAGCTGCTAAATTGGCTTGGATCACCTGAAAACAAGGGACAATTAGATATAAAGAGAAAAGATATCCCTACGCAAGCCCGGAATCATCCATCCAAGATCGGAATAATTAATGAACCTGGAAAGCCAGCGCAGAGGAGGCAATAAGGATCTCGATATTGTCGAAACCCGCAAAGGTGGAGGAAGCAGAAGGAAGCAGCATCTGAGAGATTTCGTCCTTCATCCGCAAAGCATTATCCAGGCGACAAAAGTATGATGAGAACTCAAGCGAGAGTGAAGCAGGCTTGGAGAGGATAGGCGCCGATGGAATTGAACGTGTAACCAAGGAGGCCGAGCTACCACTTGGGGGCAATGGAGGAGCCATCTTCCACCTCTTAGAGGTGAGACTCGACAAATCAAGAGGGTTCAGTGGTCTACGCATTCCAGACGAGGATGAAGTGGCTAAAAATAACATATGCTCAAAGTCACAATTTGGGGAAGAAAGACAAACAATAACAGATACAGTGAGAGACTTCAGGAATGACATTTACCCGCAATGCAACTAGGAACTTTGGGTGCAATCACAGGTTTGGGAACAGACACACAGTACTCAGGGAAAGTGTGAGCATTCGCATTCCCCGTTTCACTCATAGTATCTTCCTCCTTTTCGGAGCTATCCACAGAAATGATTGTTGTATCTTGACATGAAGAAATCATTTTAGACATGTTCCGTACGGAGCGCCGCAAGCCATCATGAATGGGACTAATAGGGCAAGAGTTAGCATTCATACCTTGGAGTTCCTTCTTCAGATTAGAAAACAACCTGACTTCGGAATCCAGTGCCAAGACGGCATTGGTCCTTTCAGCAGCACGCGGCCCAAAATCCAAAGAGAACGTCTTCGTTTCACCTAAGTGAAAACAAAATAACAAACAAATCAGAGGCATCTTACAATAGCAAAACAAAAAGACTGGACATACATGGTAGAACCACTATACTTACCAGTAGTCCTTAAGCGGTCAGGAAGAAGATCCCCAACTTCACCCAATGAAGATCTCTCAACATAAAAGAATTTAGATAACCAACCTCTGTCGTTCGCACCATCGACACCCAAGATTAGGGGTTCCATCCCAGTTTTAGCCGTCAAGATAAACCTACCCTTGCCCGAATTACGCAAGTCATAGGTGAAGCCAAGGTCATCAACCGAGTAAGATAGGGTCTCCTTCTCCATCAGAAATTCCAGGGACCGTAGTATCCTCCACGTCTGAGGCATCACTTGACAGGGGGAAACTTTTGCTAAAATCAGAAAGCCGCGCACCAAGTCGGAGAAGGGAAAGCGAATCCCAAGTTTCTTGAAAGGATATTGATAGAAGTTTACCCAGCCAGGGGACACCTAGTCTACTCTCTCTGATCGGGAGGGATATCGGATTCTGATGGAGGCGGGGAAGCCGTACGTCGATTCTATTTCTTCCTTGTCCTTTGCACGCAAGTCACCGGCTCTGAGGTTCTTTGCTTCGAAGACGCCTTGGCTGGAGAATGACACGGGTTCCATGGCAGCGGTGAAGAGAAATTTTGACTTGGAATGAAGATAACCGACGGAAGAATGCTCAAGTATACGACTGGGAGAATTTGGAAAGGTGGAGAAATCTAGACCGAGTAGGTTTCTTGGTATACGCGAGAATCGACTAAGCATCGGAAAGGACACCTCAATATTTCAAATTCATGATGACGATTTCCCGGTTTGCGCGCCTCTCATCTTCATCATGAATGGGGGCAATTGTTAGGCCTAAAAAAGACAATTATTTAGTGACCTGCGAAATAATTTAATTAGAAAAGAATCAGGCCCAAGAGAGATAAAGTTCCTTTTATTTGAATTTAGCAAATAATCAGGGATGAAGAATGGCAGTTCAACGTGCAACGAAGTAGTTGGGTGAAGCCAAGAAAATCGGCTCGTGCGCCTAGCCTTGCGGGAAGGGAAATCCAATCTCTAATAAATAGAATAGTCCATGATCATTCTAACACAGCTTTTGCTAAACACTCACATACGATCAAACACTTTTGCTTTACTATCATTCGAGCAATACTAATTCCGAATTATTAATCATATATTGATTCTTCTTGCTTGATTCCCATCGTTACATTTAGATTAGTTTAATTTTAGCTTAAACAGTTGATTGCATTTTTTATTACAAATTCGAATCAATTATCATCATTGATGAAAGAAATGCATATAAATGGGAAATTAAATAAACAACTCAATGAAATCTATTGCCGTTTATATATGAGTATATGACAATTATCAGATAAGAACCTCACACGATTAAATTATTAAAGTTGTGCCAAAATTTCCATGCGCAATATAATAATATTTCACACATGCATGTTCCTTCATTTAATATCCAACAATGGTAGTTATGCTTGTGGGACTTGGATATAGCCATGCAAGGCCAAGCAACCAAACAATACCGTAAAGAAGAAAATGGATTTTTCGGATTTCCTCTTGGACAGGAAATTCATCCATTTATTGTTTTGTTTGAATTGAGAGCTACATGACATGAATGATTGATTTGTTAAATTATTTTTATATCAAGCAGTAGTACAAAGAGAAAGAGGAAAGGGGAACATTGAAGTGGGAGTACAAGTTTCCATATATGCAAATAGTTCACCAGACAATGAACTAAAGTGTACTTAAGATGTCTATTAAATTCTTGCATTTAATCATTTAGATCGAGTACACATACTTGGAATTGAACTTTCTAGTACATGTATATTTTATTGTTCTCTAAAAAATAGAAAGCGGCCCAGTTCAGTGGCGGCCGCCGACTCACTCTCTCCATATGAGAGTTCCTGAGTTTGAAATTTCATGAAATCATTTCTCTTTTTTATATCCCTATCCCGATCAAGTGAAACAAACGCTCTAATTGCCCATTGATCAAGTAATAGTTCGGAAAAGTGTTGAATAGGACCCCCGAAAACGTGATGTAAAAAAATGTATTTTTGTCCGGCGTTTCCTAGCTATAGAGCCCCTTTTAATTCTGGTCATTGAGTATTTCTTTGTTGGGAAAATGGAAACTAATAATCCCACCTTTTAGCAGTCTTCTTACAATAGTCTCATCTTTTCGTTATTCATGAATAATCCAACCTTTGCACCCCATCTTCATTCACTGGTCTCTGACCGGTTGATGACCTGCTATTCCAAGTTATTTTCTTATCTTTGCAAACCATTATACCATAAATCTCACCTTTCACAAAGATAATATTTTGCAAAGATAAGAAAATAACTTGGAATAGCAGGTCATTAATCGGTCAGGGACCAGCGAATGAAGATGGGGTGCAAAGGTTGGATTATTCTTGAATAACGAAAAGGTGGGACTATTGTAAAAAGACTGCTAAAAGGTTGGATTATTAGTTTCCATTTTCCCAACAAAGAAATACTCAATGACCAGAATTAAAAGGGGCTCTATAGCTCGGAAACGCCAAACAAAAATACATTTTTTTACATCACGTTTTTTTACATCATTGTTTTGGTTATTGTCCAACTCGTTCGTCTATTTTATTTACAAATATGGTTTAGTAATATTATTTCTTATTAATTTTCTTCTGCAATATATATTGTAAATAATATACTGCGTATATATTTACAAGCGTCCCCAATTCCATCCCCGGATCCCTTGGGGTAAAAAAATACTATTTGTAAATCTGGTTAGATCTATTTTGTCCCAACTCTGGTTTGATCTAGTCTTGAATTGAAACAAATCCATATTATATCATTATTTCTAATTATATCGTACTGACCATAATTTAAGATCGATTGAATAACTTCCTAATGGGGTAATTAACAACAATGGATAGATTTAATATAGCTACAAGATTTAACAACAATGTATATAATAATAGAATATAAGATCCTTCAAATAATGCTGATAGCAATTGTGTTGCAATTTTTGATAAAAATTCTTTTCTTGTCAAGGACAAAATTTCGAGGCAGTTCTTCTTCAGGCGCACCATAATGGCCATCTCTATCCCATCAGCCTCAGCCCTCCTGCTTCTGTAGCTTTAGCTTCTGTCATTTCTTTCTTGTCCTATGTGGCACCGTAGACTAGGACATTGTGGTGATACTGTCACGCCCCGGACCTCCCCGGACACGTCGACAATCCGCCGTACAATACGAATAGTCAACCGCAGTCCAACACATTCATATTATACAAGGCGTCTTGAATATCATTCACACGTATACATCCATAAACAAACATAATAAGTAATTCATAACGCAGCGGAAAACATTGTTTAAAACAAGAAGGCCACACAAGGCATTTCATGAGCACGCAGGCTCTATAGTAAAATATCCATGAGCAAATTTATTAATGTTTCAAATGGAATGGAGGAAGCACGAACCAAGTCTTCTCTCCTAGGAATCACTCGATCAATGAGCACAGGATGCAAGCTCTAGCCTCAACCTGAAATGGTGGTGGGACGCCCCCGAAGGGGTCAGTACTCTATACGGCTATAAAGTACTGGTGTGGCAGGCATCTAATAGATATACAACAAGTATTTCACACACAAGACCCTCAAATAGGGTGATAATATAGTTTAGGCTGTAATCCCAAATTTCCCCTTCAAAATATATACTTACTTTATATAAAGTCAAGTAGTCAGCTCAAAGGCCCATATTTATCACAAAACATTTCCCAACCCCGTGACTAATGGTCACGGCATACATAGGGTCCAACCCTAATATAACTTCTCATTTCTAGAGTTCGGCTCGAGTACATCATCATGCACTCGCATCATAGATCTCCTACTTCATGTAATCACACCATAGATCTCCTACTTCATAAAATCACCCCATAGATCTCCTACTTCATAATATCACACCATAGATCTCCTACTCCATGATTTCACAATTGACACTTGAATCTCATTCAAGTTCATCACAAACAAACTCAAACCTTGAGTTTGATTCTAACACATTTAGGGCAATCCTTAACTAGCATCACAATACTATTAAGATTATTCCTACAACTCATTTATCATTAATGGTAGCCCCTCCATATCAATAGATATGTGGCAGCCTCCCATGTGTTAAGCATCATCATGCAATTATACATTTACATACACATAACATTCATACATGAGTTGGAAAAGTCAATTTACCATATTAGCATACTTCTATCTCACATGACTCCATATTCATCAATATGGTTTCAGTTCATGATCAAGTCCATTACTTATCATTCATATCATGTTCAAGCATATTTATTCACAAAAACATGATTTAAGCATTTAGGTAATCTCATGCATAACCTACAAGTTGTAAGCAACTAGATGTCGGTCCTCACCTCAAATGAGCTTTAAAACCTTCCTTCTCGATCCAACGACCAAAGCCTCGGCCAAGAAGGTTTGAGAACTGATTCCTTGCATGGAATTGAGTGTTAAACAGCCCCCTCAAAGTGCTAGTTCAACTCCTAACCGAAGACACAAAAACAGTCCCTAGAACGGGTGTTTCCCGACGAATTCGTTCCCTAACCTTTCAAGGTTTTGTTTAGGTTAGTATCTAACCTTTCCAACAATTAAAGTCACTTTATAATAACATTTTATACACTTCAATCATTGTATAATAGTTCTTCAATCATTTATATGATTTAGACAATAGAGAGGAAGGTTTTGGATTCAAACTTACTTTGAATACAAAAACGTATTCCGCGAGGTTGTGTTTTGCTCGGACGATTTGGAAGCCTTCCACTACTCCGATTGATGCAAACCAGACCTTCACGGATTCCTCGTCTTGAGAGATTTCTGATGGTATCTCGCACGCCTTATTTGGATGTGTATAACTCGAGATATGAAGCAAACAAGTAACCTTACGCACTGGAAAAACTACCTGCGGACAGCCCTCTTCCTTCCTTCTCCCTTGAGTTGTGTGGACTCCCTTTGCTCTCTTATCTCTTTGGGGGTTCGAATGGGGTGTAGGGGTAGTGTATTAGGAGGCCTCAATCATGCTAAGAGAGCATGTGGTTCACAAAAAGAAGAGTAGGGTATTTGATTGCAATCAAACATGGTGTGGACCTCCTCTTTAATTTCTTTTTGTAATGTTGTAGCTCATGAGTCAAAAAGTCCGCCCCACATAGTTGTCTCACCCATTTTTCTTTGTCTTGTAGGTACTAATATCATGTGGAGTGGTTCCCAATTGATCCCAATCATTTTGGGGTCCAAAATATCTATCAATACTTCCAAAAATGGGAAGATGGGTCCTATAGTTTTATCTTTTGTCAAAGATGTCTTTTTGTACTCATCCTAATTTATTTAGAACAAGTCAACTTCCTTCATCACATTATTGATCTCCCATATGTGTAGGTTTATCACAATAATTTACTTGATGGATATCATAGCAGGAAAATCCTACTCCCATTATTTAGCTCAATAATGCCAAAGATGGGGTTATAGGCATTTGTATTCCTCTTTAATTATTCTATCACTTATTTGACATTTTTCATACATGTTATAGGGCTACTAGCCGTGTGGGTCACTCCCGAGTGGGTCTAGAACGCCATTCTCGAATACTTGCTATTTTTAGCAGGTTGGGCCCAAAATAATGTTTGGGCCGCCCGACCTTCCTCGACTTGTCTTGAAAGATCACGTAACACTATTTAGAAATTTTGGGCTCTTATGTTCATTAATAAGGCCCACATAAGTATTTGCAAAAACCGACACTAATATACGAGTTTGAACAGTACGATATTCAATCATGCACTACGTAAACATTAATCGTTTTACAATTGCTCGGAAATTCAATACATAAGCTTGAAATTTAAATTGAATTTTCAAGGACGTTCGGGTGCGGTGTCACAGATACTGTTTTGCGTCTATTACGCACTAGAAAACTTATTACTAGTTCTTCAAATTTTGAACATGATTGTGTTTCGTGCCGCTTAGGCAAATCTCAACGTTTACCGTTTTCAGATGCTAGTCATAATTCTTCTACACCATTGCAATTAATTCATTCTGATTTGTGGCAATCTCCGGTCTTATCTAATTTAAGATT